GTTCTCTTTTAAACCCTGTTATAGTCATAGCCTTCACAACCTCCTCAGGCAAGGAGTTCCACAAGTTGACTGTGCGCTGTGTGAAGAAGAACTTCCTTTTATTTGTTTTAAACCTGCTGCCCATTAATTTTGTTTGGTGGCCCCTAGTTCTTATATTATGGGAACAAATAAATAACCTTTCCGTATTCACTTTCTCCACATCACTCATGATTTTATATACCTCTATCATATCCTCCGTCTCCTCTTTTCCAAGCTGAAAAAGTCCTAGCCTCTTTAATCTCTCCTCATATGGGACCCGTTCCAAACCCCTAATCATTTTAGTTGCCCCTCTCTGAACCTTTTCTAATGCCAGTATATCTTTTTTGAGATGAGGAGACCGCATCTGTACGCAGTATTCAAGATGTGGGCATACCATGGATTTATATAAAGGCAATAAGATATTCTCCGTCTTATTCTCTATCCCCTTTTTAATGATTCCTAATATCCTATTTGCTTTTTTGACCGCCGCTGCACATTGCATGGACGTCTTCAGAGAACTATCCATGATGACTCCAAGATCTTTTTCCTGATTAGTTGTAGCTAAATTAGCCTCCATCATATTATATATATAGTTGGGGTTATTTTTCCCAATGTGCATTACTTTACATTTATCCACATTAAATTTCATTTGCCATTTTGTTGCCCAATCACTTAGTTTTGTGAGATCTTTTTGAAGTTCTTCACAGTCTGTTTTGGTCTTAACTATCTTGAGCAGTTTAGTATCGTCTGCAAACTTTGCCACCTCACTTTTTACCCCTTTCTCCAGATCATTTATGAATAAGTTGAATAGGTCTGGTCCTAGGACTGATCCTTGGGGAACACCATTAGTTACTCCTCTCCATTCTGAAAATTTACCATTTATTCCTACCCTTTACCACCTGTATTTTAATCAGTTCTCAATCCATGAAAGGATCTTCCCTCTTATCACACGACAACTTAATTTACGCAAGAGCCTTTGGTGAGGGACTTTGTCAAAGGATTTCTGGAAATCTAAGTACACTATGTCCACTGGATCCCCCTTGTCCACGTTTGTTGACCCATTCAGAGAACTCTAACAGATTAGCAAGACATGATTTCCCTTTACAGAAACCATGTTGACTTTTGCCCAATAATTTATGTTCTTCTAGGTGTCTGACAATTTTATTCTTTACGATTGTTTCAACTAATTTGCCCGGTACTGATGTTAGACTTATGGGTCTGTAATTAGCGGGATCACCTCTAGAGCCCTTTTTAAATATTGGCGTTACATTAGCTATCTTCCAGTCATTGGGTACCGAAGCCGATTTAAATGACAGGTTACAAACCATATAGTTAGTAGTTCCGCAATTTCACATTTGAGTTCTTTCAGAACTCTTGGGTGAATGCCATCTGGTCCCGGTGACTTGTTACTGTTAAGTTTATCAATTAATTCCAAAACCTCCTCTAGTGACACTTCAATCTGACAATTCCTCAGATTTGTCACCTACAAAAGCCGGCTCAGGTTTGGGAATCTCCCTAACATCCTCAGCCGTGAAGACTGAAGCAAAAAATTCATTTAGTTTCTCCGCAATGACTTTATCGTCTTTCAGTGCTCTTTTTGTATCTCAATCGTCCAGGGACCCCACTGGTTGTTTAGCAGGCTTCCTGCTTCTGATGTACTTAAAAAACATTTTGTTATTACCTTTTGAGTTTTTGGCTAGCTGTTCTTCAAACTCCTTTTTGGCTTTTCTTATTACATTTTTACACTTAATTTGGCAGTGTTTATGCTCCTTTCTATTTACCTCAGTAGGATTTGACGTCCACTTTTTAAAATATCCCTTTTTATCTCCCACTGCTTCTTTTACATCGTTGTTAAGCCACGGTGGCTCTTTTTTAGTTCTTTTACTGTGTTTTTTAATTTGGGGTGAGATTCAGAACTGCAGCTCTTACAAATGGGGTATTGTATTCAGAGCAAAAAGATGTTGACTTATCTTCTGTGACAGAGCTTGACCCTGGGACATGATGAATGCCCATAAATTCCCATTGCTGTCAGTCCTTCTTGACTTTAATCAGCACTATACAAGATCAGACTTACCATAAGACATTAGAAGTATAAGAATCACTGAGATACCTTCAATTACATTTTCTGAAATCCAAATCTAAGCTGGTATGTTGGTTAGAGGACAGGCACTTTTAGAGAAAAAAGTGTATCCATAATGTTCCTCTAACATGTGTCTAAGGCCATCTCTACCTCCACTAACTGGATCATGAAATTCTTAGCCCTCTGAGCAACAGAACCTATCATTATGAAGGCCCCTCTGTTGCTACTATTAATAATCTATATCAATGTTTGCTTACACTGATTTCAGCAAGAGATGCCATAGCCCATGCTACAGTAGATCGGAGTCCTGCAGTTTGGATATACTCTCTGGTCGCCAGTGGAAGTCTGCAAACAACAAGAGGTAGATACCAAACTAAAACACTCCATATAAGAAGTGAATACAAAAGAATTTCTCTGTAAAAATGCAAATTGTCATACATAAAAATCATCATATAGTCAATTACGGGAACTCAATAGAAAAGGATAACTCTGTGAGGGACAGGGAGTGTGACTTGTCGCTCAGCACTTTTGAAAATCAGGTCACTGATTTAGGTGCCAAACTATGGCCTTATGAACCTAGCTTTAGGCTGCTCTTTTGGAAATTCAGGCCAAGATTTCAAGTCAACTCTAGACAGATTGTAAATTATCAAGATGTAAAATAGCCCAAAGGATACAAATTAAGAAAAATATTTTATACACAGTAGCTGCCAGGACTCATTTATAAAATGAGACAATTAATATTCATACTATAGGACTGCTATTTGAGAATTTGGTGATAAAAATATTTACCTGAAGACAGGAATCCCCACCACCGAGTAAATATCATTTAGATGTACAAAGAGCTGAAAGGGGGAAAAAATAACATTAAGAAGAAAACCTGTATCTTCTAAGTTAATGTGATGGTAGTTTTGCTAATTTAAACTAGACATATAAGATGCTATTTATTTGACCTTTATAATTAGGATTTGGGGTTTTAGATCAATCAATAAAAACCTATAGTATCAAAAATTATCTTATGTTTTGAAATAAAGAACACAATAGGAAACCCAAATTTACAATTTACAATTTTTAAAAGAATTTGTAACATTTAAACAAGTCGTAAAGACATTCTACATTAGTTAAGAGTTCATCACTAGGCATTCATATCTTTAAGGGACCAATTTTTTAATATAGTTCAAGGAATATGCTTAGACACTAAAACTTCCTCCCAACTTCGCCAGCAGGTTTTTCAGGACTTGGATTCCTCCAAAACAAAGCACTACTGCTTAGGGCTGGGATTTTCAAAGCACTGAAGTGACTTAAGAGGCCCCTTGCCTTTTAATGGGACTTGTGCTCCTAAGCCACTTCGGTATTTTTGAAAGTACCATCCCTACAACTGCACATAGCGAATATGTGGTTCCTTGACTATGTACATATACAGGTATGCATAATGCATTTCTAAGGTTGGCAATGGAAGCCTCTGCCCCAGAAAGCGTACCTGACCAGTTAGGTCATTGCACTATGAAATGCAATCTGACAACCATTTAGACATAAGCCCTCTTAGTGATAGCCTTACCTAGGGAACTGCTGAAAAAGCAGAGTTGGGTGGCCTAAGGTCTTCAGTCTGCTCCAAGCAGAACCCTAATGACCTTTTTCATATCAAGCTTGTGGAGAAGAACTTCACTGGGATGGGCATATGGGTGTGGAAAAATGGCAGCAAGGGCAATAAGCTCATTAAAGGTTGATGTCAATCACTCCCTTGGCAAGGATCTTTGGGAGAGTTTACAGCAATAACTTGTAAAATCTAGTATGAATGTGGGTCAGTCATGAGAGCCTGAAGCATATTCACTTTATGAGACAATCCACTGCCACCAGGAAATTAACCTTCCACATAAGAAAGCTGAACTCACAAGTACAAAGTGCCTCAAAAAGAGGCTGCCGGGACCAAATAAATATCCCTTTATGGAGGGGGCTCTTTTGGGGGGACAGAGTGGAAATAAAATGTGTCAAGACCTGCATGAACTTAATGATAAGGGATGCAGAGACGATGGTCTACTTTCAAATAGTTCATGGCAGGCTGAAACAGCTGTCAAATGCACCTGGATTAAAATCAGACTTTAATACCGTCTCAGACAGACAAAGGCAAGTCAAGCCATTTGCACACATCATTTACAGTGAGTTTCACTGCACTATAGAGCAACCCTTTCTACTTAGAGCTGGAAGTCTTACTGATAGATTCTTCTAGAAAAGCCAGGATGTTTGGGAAACCTAGCTGAAAACATCATGCCTGCAGAGTGTCATCCTTTCAGGAACCAGATCAACAGAGACAGAGATTTGGGTAGGGATGTGAACAGACTCCTAGTCCAATGGGACTGCCCGCCACTTTTGTGAGCAGGGTTGAAGACTTAGCCCTGTACTGGCTCAGATAGAGTATCAGGATGACTGAACCTTCACCCCTTCTGGGTTTGGTCAGAACCTTTGCTACCACAAGTACTTGTTCATAGGTATACGGGAGCCCCCTTCCCCAGTGCTCAGGGCCACGAGAAGACTACTGGTACTTTTTTGTTCACATCAGTAGCAAAGAGTGAGGGGAATTCTACACAGTCTTACAACAAGAACACTGGAGGGAGAATCCTATGCTGGTATATTTAAAGAATGAAAAATGTTCTATAGTGAAGCAAGAAGGTTCAATGACCAGCTGGCTTAGTGGTCAGATAGTGGCCTTTCAGTTTCTGCCATCCTGTTCATTCCAGAGGGGGCCCTGTCTGTTTAAATAAATTAAATTAACGGAGATATCCTATCTCCTAGAACTGGAAGGGACCTTGAAAGGTCATTGAGTCCAGCCCCCTGCCTTCACTAGCAGGACCAAGTACTGATTTTGCCCCAGATCCCTAAGTGGCCCCCTCAAGGATTGAACTCACAACCCTGGGTTTAGCAGGCCAATGCTCAAACCACTGAGCTATCCCTGTATGCCTCAATCACCCCCACATGCTCTGATTGCTCCCCACAGGTTGTGTCACTACCGGGGGGGGGGGGGGGAGAAGAGTGCCAAGATAGCGGAACCAGGCCCCCAACTCACTCCACCGGGTCCTGACCCAGGGGTTTACCAAAGTGTCCAGTCCAGTTATTGAGATACCCCAAATTATGTTTTCCACTTGGTCACTTCCTACCAGTCTGGAGCCTCAGTTTGGCGCACAGTCGCAGGCTTAGCAGACTCTCCTTGGTCTGTTAGTATCCTGTTCAGTCACTCTTTTTTAGGGCTTCCAAATCCCAAAGAGGTGGGGAGTGTGGGGGAGGGGGGGGGATTTGGTCCCTGCTGCTAGAGCAACCCACACCAAGCTGTTGTCTTCTTGGCACAGCTCAGCATCAGCCTTGCTTCCTGAAGCCGTGTGCTGCTTATTCCCCTCAGCCCCTTCCTGGCTACCAGTGTCCTTTTAAACTGTTCCTCCACTGGGAACATACCCTGCACCTGTTGAGGGGGGGAGGCCTCCCTAGTCCAATATTGCTCTACTCCCAGCCCTAGTTCAGAGTGGGGCCTATAGACACTATCTCACACACACACACACACACACACACACACACACACACACACTATAAACAGTGAAAAAAGTCATATCAAATCAGCACTTGACAGTGTCATTTTAAAACTAGTGAATAATTCAGTAAACAAACCACTTCATTACCTCTAGATCAGGGTTTCTCAAATCTGCTTTCCACCCAAGCTGTTTTATAAGAGTTATTCCAAGTATTCTTCCCACCTCCTGAAAGGGGAAAAAAAAGCCACCCCAAAAAACAAAATATCACTGAAAGCCACTGAGATGAAAAGGAATCTGAGTTACAAATGACAAAAACAAAGTTATGTTAGAGTTTAAAGAATTCACAAGCAAGGCAAGACTATATAGTGTAATATGACACTAGCAGCCCTCAATCTGGACATATACAAAGAGGCCAAACAAAACATCTGTCCTAATACCACAATTGAAATTTAACAATTTGATTACTAAGTATTAGTGCAGAACTACTTACTTCTAAACTGGCAATTAGTTTGCTTTCTTCAGCATCTTATAAGGTATTCTGCTCTGAAACATAGCTATAAAATGGTCATTGGGGAGCAGAATTCTTCCCCAACCTGCCAGCCCTGTAAACTCCACCTACACTGTGAGACAAGCTAATTCTTTTCCTTCATCATCAAGAGATTCTGCAGGCCAAATCAGACTCCTGCAAAGGGAACACTTACAGTTCATTCTGATTTTAGAGTTTGCAGATTTCAAGAAATACTTCTTTTATTTAAAATGTGCAAGGAATTTAAGTCCGTCCACTGTAGAGTTAGCTATGCAACCCCCACAGGACTTTCAATGTTTGCACAGTTGCACATCATCAGTATAACTGTTCAAACTGCAGTCAGTTACAAGAATTCTGAGAGGACTGCTCCATCAGCAGCAGCCATATAATGCATAGGTTGGCTATACAAGCCTGTCTTCTTCTCAGGAGTGAAGTCACTGATTCCCGCTTGCTCAGCTGCTATAGGACCAGGTGACTGGAATTAAGTGAATGACCTGGGATAACACACTGAACATCATGAGCAGGTTCTTCCTTAGCTAACTGATGACTGCTCTCAGATAGGGAAGAAACTGACAAGTTTCAGCTGAGATTCATGAACAAGTGTGCCACAAGGCCAAAAATTCCTTTCCCATCCCACATTTATATAATTGGGAAGAACCATCTTAACACTGATGAACAGCCCCACACACTGCAGTCTGAGGCAGTAGGACCACCAGCATTCCAAGACCTCAGAGATTGGAAAAGTCCCCGCTATCAACAGCCAGACTTCTTAGTTTAATTGCTTATAGGCCAGCTGGACTTGTTTGGGGCCACATTACCACTGTAGGAACTCCCAAAGAAAACTCATTTGATCTGAGAAGCTCTTAACACCTGGTGTTCAGCAGACCTTTAGATAGATTATCCTAGTGTATAGCCACTATCCACAAATTTCTGGAAAGTTTTGAATGAGTAGAGCCTGAAAAATGTAAAACACTGCATAAAATTGAGCACATTTCTAAGTGTTTGCGGGACAGGGGCCTTACAGTTTACTGTGCACTAACTTCAATGGAAAAACCTCTCAGAGAACCAAAACTTCTGCCCATCTTCAAGTAAAATAAATGGAACCTGAGTCACAGATATGTTGCTTTTTTGCATCCCATATGCACAAATGTATTACTTCATAAATATAATGCATCCTTGATAAAAGCTATTCATTTGAAAAGTTATTTTGCCCTAAAAATACCCTGAAATGGGCAATAATACATGTATTTCTATTCAAGGTTCTCTAACACGAACCATGAATAGTCATGCTTTTATAAAGTAATTTCGAAACTATTACTGATCCGTTTACTAACCGAATACACAGAGTTACTAGGTATCTCAGCTCACCTTTAAAATCTACAATTAATTCTATCCTTCAGGAATTTTGATTTGTCATACCTGTGAAGTAAATACTTTTGCAATTGCTCCACTACAGCGACAAGAAACTCTGAAACTGAAGCTGTGGTTATTGCTTTCAACTGATTTCTCTATTCTACTTTCAGATGTCTCTTCTAGAAAAGTTTTGCTTTCAGTCAACAAGTCCATGTCGTTGTTTGTTTCTAGTACCACACTTTTCTTTTGCTCTTCCATGTGGCATTCATCAGAAACTGTCTCTAATATTTGTTCTCTCTTCTGGTTTTTATTTCTGATACTTATCTCTTCTTCGGATTTTCTTTTTAGGGATTTTGGATTTTCTTTAGAGAGGTTTCCTTGTTCGACCTTATTTCCATGAAGATGTTTCCAAACGGAAATAATATCCAGCCAACATCTGGGGTCCTCAATTACAAGTTTTTGAATTTCATTAAATACTTTTCCTAAAAGAGATCTGAGCTTAGTTTATTCTGTGTTAACATTTTAATACACACAATTTATTTTTACTAATCAACATTAAAGTATATGTTTGGGAACATTAAACACTTATTTCCTAGGACTGTTAAAAGAAATAACAATGCCTTACAAAAAGTCTAATCCATTCATTTTCATGGATAAAGAAATTTTACTTTTACTCAGGGTTATTACATATTCACACATGACAAAATCAGCACAGTAAGTAGGGCCAGGATCATTATAGTTTCCACCCAAATTTTCTACAACAATATTTCTTAAAACATTTCATACAAAAGCAGTTTAAGACAACAGGTGTTAAAGAGAACAATTAACTCTGTAAATTTGTGAATTTGTTAACTCCTGAGGCACCAGTGATTGTAAATATTGCAATTCTGATCTGATTTGGTTGTGGGTGGTGTTAAATCAATCATATCCTGCTTTGTCCTGGCCTTGCCCATAGCTCTCCCCTCTGCTCAGATACTCAGAGAGCTCTGCATGGCAATGGGCCAAATTCTGGAGCTAGCTCATGGCTGGGAAGCCAGCATGGTTTAATAGTTAATCACAGTCCCAGTGTGCTAAAATGACTTGGGTTCTTAATCCCTATTCTACCAATTACTAGTTTTTTGCCTTTGGATAAATCAACTTAATCCCTCTAAAAAAACAGGAGTACTTGTGGCACCTTAGAGACTAACAAATTTATTAGAGCATAAGCTTATAGCCCACGAAAGCTTATGCTCTAATAAATTTGTTAGTCTCTAAGGTGCCACAAGTACTCCTGTTATTTTTGCGGATACAGACTAACACGGCTGCTACTCTGAAACCTGTCTTAATCCCTCTGTCACTTAGTTGCCCCATTGTAAAATAAGGATAATGCTTATTCAGCTTATAAGGCACTTAGAAATGCTGTTCAACTTTGAAAAGTGGCCAAAAGTCAGATCCGTTTCCCCATTTGGATTCAGACACATACTAGTATCCGCTAACTTTTTTTTTAAAGTTACGTTTTACTCTTGCTAACACTGCAGAGCCTACACATCTTCAGAAGAAGGAACTGGAGTCTATTCCTTCTTGTGCACTATCAACAGAACTATTAACTAAATTCTTACAGCAAAGCCAAATTATGACCATATTTAAGCAACAGCAACACCAGAGTCTCCGCAGGTGTAAGGAAACAGCAGTTAGTCCATAAAACCTTTATTACAGGCAATTAGAATAAGAAGGAAAGAACCCAACTGTAAAGATATAAACATGTGATTAACTTTAAATACATGAGTAGTCCCATTGACTTCACTAGAGTAAAATATTGAGAAATTGAACCTTGGGGAATAAAATTAGTACAAGTATTATGATCTTCAGTTTTCCTCAGTACACAGATAAAAGTAAGTTAGGTACTTCTATTTATTTTTTGAACTTTAGGTCCATGGATAAATTTGATCCTCCATGAAAAGTTTTAGAATATTTTTCAAGTTCCTAATTAGATTAAAATAAAAATAGCGATGATAGAATTTGATCTTCGCAGATACTTATAACATTTGAAACTTCATACACAAATAATCCATCTCAGTTTATATACCTAAATCCACTCAACCTCCAAGAAAATTATCCCCCCCACTCATTATACATAATGCTCCAGATTTACACCATGATATATGAAAACAGAATTTGGCAGAATTCAACAAAATCTGTTTCATTCAGTACATATCCCTGACTCATCAGCTGTTCCCTGTCTAACTTGAGCACCCAATGAGGCAGGGGCCCTGTGGAAAAAAAAACTAAGCAGCCATGCAACTAAAGAGTATCACAGAATCAGAGAACTGGAAGGGACCTTGAGAGGTCATCTAGTCCAGTCCCCCGCATTCAAGGCTGGACTAAGTATTATCTAGACCATCCCTGACAGGTGTTTGTCCAACCTGCTCTTAAAAATCCCCAACGATGGAGATTCCACAACTTCCCTAGGCAATTTATTCCAGTGCTTAACCACTCTGACAGTTAGGAAGTTTTTCCTGAAGTCCAACCTAAACCGCCCTTGCTGCAATTTAAGCCCATTGCTTCTTGTCCTATCCTCAGAGGTTAAGAACAACAATTTTTCACCCTCCTCTTTGTAACAACCTTTTATGTACTTGAAAACTGTTATGTCCTCTCTCAGGATAGTAATGCATAAATCTAAAAATGGGCACTGTTGTTGAGGGTGTACATTAATAGATACCATGGAACAGGGCAGAACTTCTTCAGAGCTCTGGTGGATTCCAACCTCCAACTTTAAAAACTTTGCACTGAAATTACACAAATACGTATGTGCAGTGCCAGCAGAACATTAGGAGTTGGAATGAAACATTAGTTTCTTTAAAGAGAGTGCATAAACATGTCTTATTTTTTAAACCACTTTTAACTCTGCCAAATCAAAATGGATTTTCCCCTTGACCACTCACAGGAACATTTGTGACCTAGGGACTATTCTAAACCACAAAGCTGTTAGAGCTATTAAAAAAGGCACAAAAATAGTTTATAAACATTACAAATGTATTTCCTCCCCATTCTCTCTATTAAAACAACTGAACTGCTTTTGCGCAATCCTTCCAAAAGTTCACTTGAGTGGAGAGATGACCTGAAAAATATCAGCCCGAAAGGCATATTTTTAAAAAAGTTTTAAGCAATCAAATGAGCCCTCAAGAGGAAAAAAGTCTTTGAAAAACCCCAAGTGTATTTGTTGCTAAGGCCTACACTTACAAAAAGAGGAATCCTGTTATGTGTTCTGATTTTTTGTTTACATTAACAGTCACCTTTCAGAGTAGAAAGGTACTTGAATGTCCTTGGACAAAAAAGATTATAAGTCTTATTATTGCTTAATTAAAACTATGGCATTTGAAAACAATTATGGAATTCTTTTCCAAATCAGATTTCAACTTCTACTTTGAGTTCATAATATTTTGTGTGTAGAAAGAAGAGAAAGAGTCATAAACAGTACCTTTATTTCTAGAGAGAGAAATTGGTGCATGTTTTTTCAGCAGCAAAAATAATCGTTCTCCAGACTTCAGCTTCTTCAATTTACTCAACTCAGAATTGGTGGTAAAGAAAACTTTTCCTGAAACATACTCCACCTAACAAAAAGAAGAAGTCTAAAAAATAGTCTCTAGATTTGGTTTAGGCCCACCAAAAGAAACTTACCATGCGGTTGCACACCCTCACATTAAGTGCTCTTGCGCCTTTGATTCCATCCAACCACAGTAAGCAGGGGTATACAATGAAGAGCACCACTATATTAATATATTGAGTTCAATATAGTTTAGTATATGGATTTTTCAGATCACACCTTAACAACTCAATCTGTTAGATACCTGAGGACATTAAAATCCATGAGGCACTTTGTAAGAACTGGGGGTTTTCCCCAGTGTCATTGCACATTTTTCCTCTGTTCAGCATACTGTTTACCAGCTGACTGCTGCCCTTCACTTAAGGGGTTTCTGCAGTTCCCATCACATTGGGGGTAATGTATAAGATACTTTGGGACAAACAGGTGAGCTATAAATGCAAGATATTATTACAGTATACCTCTTTGGCTCTAGAATGGCTGCTTTATTTGGATATCGCCAAGAAAACAGATTAGGCTAATGATGACTACTGCTTAATTGGGAAAGTATTATCTTAAATTTAGCTAATGCCCAATAGTTAAATGATGATAAACTACACTTTGAAATAGATGTGAAATTTTAAACTCTGATCTGTAACATACAAGTTGTCAAATGAAGATTAAGGAGAAGATTTTCCTGAAGACTGGGATGACCAATAAGTGTAGCTAGGTTCCAGTAGCACCTGGTACAAATATGCAAAAACCACCTTGAAGAACCTTTGCAACTGTTAGTCAGGCATGAAGAGGTAGGAATAACAAGTGTTTTTAAATCAAATTAGGCTACTTGAGTTTGCTAACATGACTTGAAATGCTACTTAGCACCTAGTATAGACATAATTTAATACTTTTACAATCATGTTTGGTGGTCCTATTGTAACCTGGGTTACATAACAGCTAACTCAAGTTACACAAATGGAATCAGAAAAGCACCATGAGTAGCCATAACAAAAGGATGGCTGTTTTTAATTTGTGAACAGAGCATATCAAGAAACAGAGACATGCCCCCCTCCCACCCTACATCAGAAGTGCACGTTAAATGAAGTGTCCCTAGCCTCTGTTTGCCAGAAGCTGGGAATGGGTGACAGGGGGTGGATCCCTTGATGTTTCCCTGTTCTGTTCATTCCCTCTGAAGCACCTGGCATTGGCCACTGTCAGAAGACAGGATAATGGGCTAGATGGACCTTTGGTCTGACCCAGTATGGCCGTTATGTTCTTATGTTATGCATGAACAAAACTGTGGAGAAATAGATCTGAGCAACAAGATACCTCAGTCTCACTACACCACCTTTAACTCACCCAAGTCAAACTCACATCCTATGTCCAGGGCTGTAGGGTCTGTTTCTCCCTCAGGAGTCCCACCCACTCACCAGTCACCTAGAATTTGGCTAGACATGGGCAAGAGATATTTCCAAACAGAGTGAGCCAACAGGTACACACACAATTTGTATTTTAATATATATTAGATGACAGAGTGAAGCCACCATCTACACTAGGGTTTAAAAAACATGTTGGCTAACAGTAAATGAACATGTTTCAAAACTATGTATTTTATCCTGGCGTGCACAGGACTCAAACCTCCCTGGGAGGTTGGAGCAGGTGAGACCTAAAGGACAAACTCAGCAAAAGGCTCTCCCAAGCCTCCTATTCCATCAGAGCCCAACCCTCTTATCCCTCCCAACAGCCCCCACCTCCTTAAACCCCCATGCAGCCCCCTCGGTCCCCGACCCCCACTCCATCAGACCCCCCCCCTCCTCCTCCTCCTCATCAGGCCCACATCCCCGGACTCCCCCACATCCCAGCCTCACCCCTCAAGCCCCATACACCCAGACTTCCGCCCCTCATCCCGCGGGCCAGACCCTGCCCAGGCCCCTCCCAGCGCGGGCCGGGCCGGGCCGGGCGAAGCGAGGCCCCTCACCTGCGTGGCGCCCAGCCGGGCCCGTACCTCCCGAAGCAGGAAGGGCTCCAGGCCCCGGCCGGCCGTGCAGAAATAGCGGATAGAGGGCCCAGCACAACCCGAGGCCTCCGCCATGCCGTCCGCTCCGCGACTGGGCCTGTCCCGCCCCTCGGGCCGCCCCATCACCCGCCCCCGGCCCCGCCTCTCAGTCCGTCCCCCCAGTTCCCCCGCCCCTCGCAGCCGCTTTTGGGGCCGCCCCCACACTCCAGCCACGCCCCACAGTCCGTCCCCCCCATTCCCTCACCCCCGCCTCTCAGGCCACCCTTACTGCCGCCCCCACAATTCCCTCACCCCGCCTCTCCTCGTCGCCTCTCAGGCCGCCCCGTGCCCCTCATTCTCCCCATCCCAACACCAGCACCGCCCCCTCAGTCTCTCCAACTGCCCCTGACCCATTCCCCCAACCCCTCAACCACCCTTCAAGCCATCTTGTCAAAATCACCCTGCCCCCTTCTCACCCTGAGACCCCCCCATCACAGTACCTCTCCCCATCACTCTGAGCCCCCTGCACTGAGACCAACCCACCCACACTGCCTGAGGCCCTTCTCCCCATACTGTCTCCTCTGCCTGACACCTCACCCCACTGACCTAGAGTCCCTTTAGGGTTGCCACCCATGCCTACTGTATCTGTACATCCCAGAGTTTAAAGGGAATGCTCCCTGTCAAGACTGAACCCAGTAGGGAAGCTTGGTTGTCCCCATCTTGCTCCAAGGCCTTGGAAATGTGAATAAAATGTATTGTTCTGTACTAAAAAGTGATTTTTCACTGTGAGGACTCCATTAATTTCAAGAGCATACAGTAGGCTTATTTGGCCTTGTATCAATAAGTGACCTGGTGACATCCACTGCCCATACCTTTCAACCTTCAGGCAGAGAAAGCCAGAGAATGACATTAGAAATCTATAGCACAAACTCTTAAATTCTAAAACAGTGTGACCCACATGCATTTGCAGTAACCAGCACACTCAGAGAGGCCAATGCCTGCATGGGCCAGGGGGAACTTGTGTGTCTGACTCCTGCTTATCTCCTGCGAGGAAAATCCCCTCAGATCAGGGTTGGGACACCCTGTGTTTGTGGGCAGCTTGCTGTGCTCTGTAAATAAATGAGAACTTCCTTCAGGGGTTGCAACCAGCCACCTTCTTTTGCCAGCTCTAACTCTACACAGGTTTGTTTAAGAGGACATTTTAGTTATATCCAAATTAATTAATTCAATGATTTGATGAACTGTGTGTGACAGTTACTAAATATTCCTAATTTCCCCCCCACAAAGTTCCCCCAACTCTCTTCTCTTCAGAGATCTTCCCGCTAACACTGCCTCTTTCATCTAGCTCTTTTACCAAAAACTGCCCTGCCTCCTGGACCCCCTGCATTGCTCCCCTCCCCTTCCTCAAGAACTCCCACCCCAGACAGTCTCCCTCCCTGCTCCACACTGTCCTCAACTTGCTTGCAGGCTTTATCCCAACAGTGTCTCCCCTGCCTGAGGTTTATCTATTTTTGTCTGTTTAGTGAAACAATATGCAGTAATATAACAATCAAATCTCTCTATTTAACCAGAGTGTTACCATATTACAGAGTGAGCCCTGTTACACCAAATGCTCACAAAGCTACATACACAACAGAAACCCCCATCACCTACACTGTCCCAACATACCTGGGTTTCTGCCCTTGCAATTCCACCCTCCACATGGATTCAGACCCCCTATTCCCATATTGTCCTGCTCCCCTGCTTGAGGTCCCTTTCTCCACACTCCTCTCCCCCCAGCACCATACACACACTGGAGGCCCCATGACAACTCACTTGGAAAACCTCCCCTTGCACAGGCCCCTGTGCCTTAGACCCCACTTCCACATTACCTCTCTGCACTGTTCCCCCAACCTAAAAACTCTTTTGCTTTACACTGCCTCCTCACCGGAGACCTTTTCCCCAAAACTGCAAGCCCCAGCTCCTCCCTGCCCAAAAGCCTTAAACTCCAGAGCTGCCCACACTACAATATCCCATTCCACTGTACAGTCTCCTGACCGGAGTCTCCCTCGCTGCATTACCCACCAACCTGAGGCCTTTCTCCTCTCCTGCCTAAGGTCTCACTCCCAATAATTTTGCCTGTTTCATCAGCTCCTCTCTCCAGGCATGATGCTGGGTGTGGAGTTCATCCTCCCATTCTCCTAGATCAGCTGGTTGTGAGTTCAAACTGCAGTAATTTTATTTTTATTTTCCAGGGTGGTGGAAGGATTGTATATACCAGGGATCGGCAACCTTCGGCCCACGGCCGCCAGGGAAGCGGCACGGGCCAAGGGATGTTCTGGCCACAGCTTCTTGCAGCCCCCATTGGCCTGGAATGGCGAACCGCAGCTAGTGGGAGCTGTGATCGGCTGAACCTAAGAACGCGGCAGGTAAACAAACCGACCCGGCCTGCCAGGGGGCCTACCCTGAAGGGCCGCGTGCCGAAGGTTGCCGATCCCTCCATCACTCAGAAGGCTGGGAATGGGAAAAAGGAGTTGTGTTCAATTCAGATTATTTAACTGCTCCATTTAGCAAACAGAAACAGACTCTTTTAGCCACTTAAATAGATCTTGTGTTTTAAAAAAAAATATTTATTTAGGAAGCTTTAACAGGTTTACAAATCATTGCTATGTAAATATCAGAAAAAACTATCCAACAATTTGTAATATTTATTTACAAATCACCCCCCAATATTCTCTAATGACTGGAGATGTCCACCATATATGCATGTAAAAAGCAACAGAGGGTCCTGTGGCACCTTTAAGACTAACAGAAGTATTGGGAGCATAAGCTTTCGTGGGTAAGAACCTCACTTCTTCAGATGCAAGTAATGGAAATTTCCAGAGGCAGGTATAAATCAGTGTGGAGATAACGAGGTTAGTTCAATCAGGGAGGGTGAGGTGCTCTGCTAGCAGTTGAGGTGTGAACACCAAGGGAGGAGAAACTGCTTCTGTAGTTGGATAGCCATTCACAGTCTTTGTTTAATCCTGATCTGATGGTGTCAAATTTGCAAATGAACTGGACCTCAGCAGTTCCTACCTGCCACATGGGGCCACAACAGGGGTACCCCTAACTCACCCAGCAATATCGTCAATTTATCCAGCTACACACTCAACCCAGCAGAAGAGTCTGTCCTATCTCGGGGACTCTCTTTTTGCCCCAGCAGCCCCACGAACATGATACAGTTCTGCGGTGATCTGGAAGCCTACTTTCGCTGCCTCCGACTCAAAGAATACTTTCAAGATAACACTGAACAGCGCACTGATACACAGATACCCTCCCACCAACAACACAGGAAGAAGAACTCCACATGGACTCCTCCTGAGGGTCGAAATGACAGTCTGGACCTATACATAGAATGCTTCCGCCGACGTGCACAGGCAGAAATTGTGGAAAAACAACATCGTTTGCCTCATAACCTAAGTCGTGCAGAACGCAATGCCATCCACAGCCTCAGAAACCACCCTGACATTATCATCAAAGAGGCTGATAAAGGAGGTGCTGTTGTCATCATGAACAGGTCTGACTACCAGAAGGAGGCTGCCAGACAACTCTCCAATACCAAATTCTACAGGCCACTTTCCTCAGATCCCACCGAGGAATACACTAAGAAACTGTACCATCTACTCAGGACACTCCCTACACTAACACAGGAACAAATCAACATACCCTTAGAGCCCCGACCAGGGTTATTCTATCTACTACCCAAGATCCACAAACCTGGAAATCCTGGACGCCCCATCATCTCGGGCATTGGCACTCTCACTGAAGGACTGTCTGGATATGTGGACTCCCTACTCAGACCCTACGCCACCAGCACTCCCAGCTATCTCCGTGACACCACTGATTTCCTGAGAAAACTACAATGCATTGGTGACCTCCCAGAAAACACCATCCTAGCCACCATGGATGTAGAGGCTCTCTACACAAACATCCCACACACAGATGGAATACAAGCTGTCAGGAACAGTATCCCTGATGATGACACAGCACAGCTTGTTGCTGAGCTCTGTGACTTTATCCTCACGCACAATTATTTCAAATTTAGTGACAATATATACCTCCAGACCAGTAGCACCGCTATGGGCACCCGCATGGCCCCACAATATGCCAACATTTTTATGGCTGACCTGGAACAACGCTTCCTCAGCTCTCGTCCACTCACACCCCTTCTCTACCTACGCTACATTGATGACATCTTCATCATCTGGACCCATGGGAAGGAGACCCTGGAAGAATTCCACCATGATTTCAACAGCTTCCACCCCACCATCAACCTCAGCCTGGACCAATCTACACGGGAAGTCCACTTCCTAGACACCACAGTACAAATAAGCGATGGCCACGTTAACACCACGCTATACCGAAAACCCACCGACCGCTACGCCTACCTTCATGCCTCCAGCTTCCACCCCGGACACACCACACGATCCATCGTCTACAGCCAAGCGCTGAGGTACAACCGCATCTGCTCCAACCCCTCAGACAGAGACCAACACCTACAAGATCTTCACCAAGCATTCTCAAAATTACAATACCCACACAAGGAAATAGAGAAACAAATCAACAGAGTCAGACGTGTACCCAGAAGCCTCCTGCTACAAGACAGGCCCAAAAAAGAAACCAACAGAACTCCACTGGCCATCACCTACAGTCCTCAGCTTAAACCTCTCCAACGCATCATCAGTGATCTACAACCCATCCTGGACAATGATCCCTCACTTTCACAGACCTTGGGAGGCAGGCCAGTCCTCGCCCACAGACAACCCGCCAACCTTAAGCATATTCTCACCAGCAACCATGCACCGCACCATAACAACTCTAACTCAGGAACCAACCCATGCAACAAACCTCGATGCCAACTCTGCCCACATATCTACACCAGCAACACCATCACAGGACCTAACCAGATCAGCTACAACATCACCGGCTCATTCACCTGCATGTCCACCAATGTTATATATGCCATCATGTGCCAGCAATGCCCCTCTGCTATGTACATTGGCCAAACTGGACAGTCACTACGCAAGAGGATAAATGGACACAAGTCAGATATCAGGAATGGCAATATACAAAAACCTGTAGGAGAACACTTCAAC